TAAAAACAACTCTTAAGAGAAAGAAAGTGGGAAATTGCCATTAGTGTGTTGATATCTGGCTGATACTCAGTTTATGTTGATGTTGCCTTTTAGCTGTTTCAGATTGTTCCTAGCCTTTAAAAGATCCGTGATGGTTGTAGGAACCAGGCAACCTAGTACGGATCATATGTTATTCTAAAATCACTGTTACTTCCTCTGAGAAGCCATGTCCATGCATGTAAGTATGTTTTAGTGGGGCAGTATAATCAAGGTTTTTTCATTTAACATATGATCATTAAAATGAAATAATTTTCTTATAGAAATCAAATCATCTATTTGTTGGCTTTATTTAACATTTAACTCTTGGTAGTGTTGCAGAGCGATGAGATGTCTTTGAAAAGGTAATCCAGTTATTATTGTGTTTGAGAGGTTCCCCCCCCCCCCATAATTCCTAATGTATTTGAAGAAGCAAGTCATTCTGCAAACAGCTGTTCCTGTTAAGATACTGGTGACTGACAAAGGGTAATTTTCAGCTTCCTGGGGTCCTTTTCTTATTCTGATGGATGGTAGAGCTTTGTCTCATGAACATAAAAAAGTACATTTCACAGGAGTTTTCTACCACCAAGTGCCTGGGAAGTCTCTGACAGACTCATTCTCAAAACTCCTGAGACTTAGGTGGGATTTGAATCTCTACAATGCTACTTTTCTCTTTCAGTCGAAGGCTTTGTACTGTGAAAAGCCTGAAGGTAAGAAAAAGGAAATAGATTGAATTTTGGAGGTTTTATGAATGCTCTGCAACTTTTTCCTTTGTCTGTCATCAACTTTTTGATGTATTTCAGAAATTTCATTGGTCATTTTCTCCCCCTGCTGCTTTTTGGGTGCTTTTTTCAAAGAGAGTAGATGGAATAGGGGAGCAGGGAGATGCATAGATATAGTAACACTTATTTCAGCAGAGAATCACTTTCTTATCAAATCACTCTGCTATTTTCTTGACTCAGTATCACAGTGAAAGATCTGATGAGAATGATTTGTTTTTAAGGCCAAAGGAAATGGAAAAGGCGTGAAACTGAGGCAAGCCTAAATGAGCTTGCACTCTAATTTCTTTAATTTTGTGAGTCTGCACTGAGCACATGGCAACTCTTGAACCTGTGGGTCTAGAAGGAGGGCTTGGACACCACTGACTTGGCTTGGGAAACCCAACAGGTGATATTTTTCTGCCAAGATAGTTTCTGGGCTGTTACAGACCTGGTGTGATAAAGTATTGTGGCCCATTCACAGTGCTTAGCTGGCCTCTGGAAACTTCATAGTCACTGGTTTTCCAAAGGACAGAAAAACAATAAGTGATTACATACTGTGGTGGGCAAATCCATCCTTTGCCTCCACCCCATCTCATCCATACATGCTTATGAAATCCTTAATCCCCTATAGGGACTAAAAGCAAATGTTAGCAAATGTCAAGAACAAAGTTTGCCACCCCCTCCCCAACTCCAATAAAAGTATTTTGCCCTATAATTAAGTCTGGGCATCTTGAAGAATGAATACAGAGGAGATTTATTGCTACTAAGTGTTGTGCATATAAATATATTACCCTGAGTCCTAAAGTTGTTTTGAAAAAATTTAAGGGGCTTGGCTTTCTTTTGAAATATCGTATTCCACAGATAACGTTGATATTAAATTATTTGGTCTCATCTATTGTTTTGATTGAAAATGCGGGGTTTTTTTTTTTCTCTTTTATAAGCGTTCTTTAACATAAGCAGCAATCTCTGTAAGGTAGTGTTGTTGTGCATTTGCATTGTTATAGAATTAAATTATGGATTCTGTCATTCAAAAAAGAATGCTTTATAAATCAAGTACAATCTCATAACTAAGATGAGTAAGTTTTTTTTAAATCTTAGGCTGCCTCATATTCCATACTTTAGTTTTATAACCTAGCTTGATGTGATTTTTAAAGTGTAATTCTTTTTTTTTCTATTTCTGTGTACTGTGTTTGCTTTGTAAAAATGTCATTAGTTTCCCAAGAAAAAGCTTAAGAAAACTTATTATTTGTAAAGGACAGTAATGTAAAAGCACAGAGGCGGGTGGCAATCCTTTATCTGTACATTGGCAGGAAATGGGCCAAATATAGCATGTTCTCTCCCGCCCTCCTCTCCCCTCTGATTACATTCAATGTAATTGATGTTAAAACTCTATAAACTGTTAACAAATGGCAGAAACTTAATGTATTCCTTTTCCTTTTAAAAAAAATGATCTATTGTTTTGAATTCCTGAGTATAAGAGACAGTCCTCATCTAATTGGGGTGGGTTACAGACTGTGTCCTGTTTAAACGGTTACGATTGTGTTTACCACTGGTCAGGGAAAACTGTCAAGGTGGGTTTGTGATCCTAAGGCAGTCCTGCTCAGCAAGAGCCTGGTTTCTTTTTTCAGCACTGCTATGCAGCTATCCCAAAGCCTGGGAACTGGAGCAATAGTCCTAAATGCTAGTAGGCAGGAAGACGAAAGGCAGTCTAAGGAGAAGGAAGGTCAGGAGTATGTTATTCAGACTTGGTTAGGGGGGCAGGATTTCTAAATGCAACTGCAGTTAGTGATTTTAAAAAAGGCCCGAAATTCAGAAGAGAGGTCAGAGATAGAGATCGAGATTTAAGATCTGAGCAATTGCAGTGAGAGATGAAACTTTATCTGAACTTCATTTCTCCAGGGGAGAGAGATTAAAGAGGAGAGCAGAGGATTTAGGACTCTACCTTGGGGAAGTAGGAGGAGAAAGAGAAACCCTGGAAGTATCAAACTGCCATGCTTGGCTGTGGAAGAGGCTCCAAGTGCCACCAGTTCTCCTGAGCTGTTCATTTTGACCCAGATAATCCCAGTTATGCTGGTAAAGAATCTAGGAACTGAGATCATTGTGACTATCTTTGCCTTGCAGTAGATGTAAAGAGAATTAACATCTTCTCTTAGGGGGACATGTTAATAGAGGAGGGGGGACTTCCATTACCCCCAGTTTTAGTGCATATAAGGATTTCCTTGGGGTGGCTCAGCTGGTAAGGAATCCGTCTGCAATATGAGAGACCTGGGTTCGATCCCTGGGTTAGGAAGATCCCGTAGCGAAGGGAATGACTACCCACTCCAGTATTTTGGCCTGGAGAATTCCCTGGACTGTATAGTCCATGGGGTCACAAAGAGGCGGACACAACTGAGCGACTTTCACTTCACGTATAGTCCTTATATGTGCTGAAATTATGTGGTTGTTCCTACCTTTATGAGTTCAGTAAGACTGGGTTCATACCACCCTCAACTCTACCGACAAATTATTTCTTTTCTAAGGTACATTGAACTAAGATATTGTTTGATTTTATAAATAATTTGATTAAAAATAAATTGGAGAAACAGAATGAGAAGCCTAACGGAAAATAATAGTGGCTTCCTTGATTTATCAAGCTATGTTTTAATTTATACTCAGTTCCCTGCCAGGGGAGGTAAAAGAGCCACCTCATCCCATTGACCTGATATTTAAAAGAGCATTTGCAATGCTTCTGGTTTTGCATTGTAGAAAGTGAAAGTTGCTCAGTCAGTATCTGACTCTCTGTGACCCCGTGGACTATACAGTCCATGGAATTCTCCAGGCCGGAATACTGGAGTGGGTAGCCTTTACCTTCTCCAGGGGATCTTCTGAACCCAGGGATCAAACCCAGGTCTCCTGCATTGCAGGCAGATTCTTTACCAGCTGAGCCACAAGGGAAGCCCAACATTATAGGTAACTCTAATTTTCAGGGCCACACCTTGTTCCCAGTGAAATTACAAGAGTGCTTTAATAACAAGATAACTAAATATGAAGGAGTGATTAATATAGTCCATTCAAGCATCATAAATACAGAAAATTCATAGCATGTGTTGAAAACACTTGATGAACTAACTGATTTTCTCCTAGGAATTCAGGTGGCCTAGCAACTTGCACTCTTGGGTACAAAAAAAGTTGCCTTTTTTTTTTCCACCCTTCCCTCCAAGTAAGCTCCTGCTATAAAGCATCTAAGCAACTGTGGGAAAAAGAATGGCTTGCAGTTGTGCTTATCTTAAAGGGATTATGGCAGACTTAATAACCCAAATTGGATCATCATTAGCTGCTTTGTACAGTACTTGAGTTAAACAAACACAACATAACACATTTGACAATGTGATAAATACCTGGTCACTAACATCCTTTGCTCCCACACCGTAAACACCATAATTAGCAGCCATATCAGCATTTAGGTAACACCAAAAACATGTTTCGTTCCACAGGACTGCCATATGATCCTGTCTGGAAGTGCTTAAACCATCTCTAAAACATTCAAATACCTGCCACTCCCAAATATACTTGGGTGTCAGTTATCCAAATGATCCAGGGCCATTCCCTCTAGAATCTAAAGAGCAGCATAACTGTGAGGTAGAAGAGATTTATTCTTCAGTTAACAAAAGATCAGTGGATTTCAAGAAGTTTCTCACATTATATGGATTCAGGAAAAAGAACTTTAGAGCCAAAATTGTCCAGAATAATGGATCTAAAAGTTAGAAGATACATTTATGTGTATTATTTAACACTTTTCCTTATTTTTCCTGATTACACATGTAGAGCCACATCCTAGATCATATTTAATTTTATGTCTCATGTTGGGAAATTTTTATTTACATCTGTAATGTTATGATTATATACTATCCCTGATGTTTTATATTTTAAATGTAAGTTGATGCATACTAAAGTGGAGCAGAACAAGGTGGCTACCAGAATGAGTTCTGGAGTCAGACTAACTAGGTTTTAGTTCAGGTTTTGTCACTTGTTAGCTGTGCAACTCCTCTTTATTTCCTCATCTGGAAGATAAAAATGATGAGATTATCAGTCTTAGGGGGTGTGTATCAAGACTGAATACATTAATTCACATAAAGTACTTAAACAGTTCATCCCACTGCTAAGAGATTAAGAAACTTTTATTTTCTTAGCCACACCAGATTTTTTAATATATTAATGTCAATTCATAAAATCCTTCATTTTTAGGGCCGGTGTGCCAGAGAGAACTGCAAGTACCTTCACCCTCCTCCACATTTGAAAACGCAGCTGGAAATTAATGGACGGAACAATCTGATTCAACAAAAGAGTGCCGCCGCTATGTTCGCCCAGCAGATGCAGTTTATGTTCCAGAATGCTCAGATGCCACCATGCTGTGTAAGTCACAGCTCTGCTTTTTCAAAATTGCATATGTATGTCCTTTTTTAAGGGTGCATATCTACACTGGAATAACCTGGCAAGGACTTTAGGAAGTTGTCACCGAAGGATTGAGGATGCGAGCTAATATGTTAATTAACACTCCAAAGATGTTATGCATGTGAAGGGAGCAATCAGGTGTGTTAGATTTAAACAGGGGGTTGCAGGAACCAAGAATGTAGCTTATAGGGACTTCCCTCATGTTCTAGTGGCTAGGACTTCACACTCCCAATGCAGGGGGCCCGGGTTCTATCCCTGGTTCAGGGAACTAGATCCTACATGCCACAGTTGAAGATCTTGAGTGCCACAACTAAGACCCAATGCAGCAAATTAATAAATCAAAAAATGTAATTCATAGAAGAATACTAATAAAAGGAGCCAGGGACATTTTAAGAAGAGAGGAGGTTTGATTATTATGACATAGAAACCTTTTAATTTAGGATATTACTTCAGATAAGTTTCCTTGCTCTTTGATAGTTATGTTGTTACTTTTAAATAGATTTTTCACTTTAAAATAATTTTAGATTTAAAGGAAAGTTGCAAAGATAGTGCTGAGACTTACCATATCACCCATCATCTGGTTTTTCCTACTTTTAACATCTTATATGCATTGCGTATTTGTCAAAACTAAGGAACTGACATCTACACATTACTATGAACTAAACTCCAGACTTTCTTCAGACTTCACCAGATTATTCACTAGTGTGCTCGTTCTGTTACAGTGGCCAGTGCAGGGTATCAGTGTATTTGAATCCTATCTGTGCTCTCTCTTCTGGTCTGTGATTGTTTCAGTCTTTCTCTTTCCCATGACCTTAACAGTCTTGAGGGATACTGGCCAGGTGTTTGATGGGGGTTTTAACTTAACCTAGCCACAGAGTTTCCCTTTGGTGAAATTAATATTTTGGTGTCATTCTAGACCAACGTCTAGTATTTGTTTGGATCATTGAGTTTAAATGGATCACTTAAAAAGTGATATAAGTGTCCTACAGAGAATTCATCTTGTCTTAATACCTTAAAATATACAGTTGCAGTTTGGCCTTAGACTTGTTTGAGGTGGAACTGAAAACTGTCCCTGTCTACTGAGTTCTTCCAGGTCTCATATTTAGTTCCATGGTGTCTCATTCTAATTCCAGCTGGCCTACTTCCTTTAAACCATTATCAGGCTAGTACTTGGAAAGGGTTGTGTTATCTTTATTTGTCACCCATTTCATTGGTGGCTACTATATAATGAACACACTGAGAACTGAAAGATGTATGTAATATTTAGATATAAGCAAAGTGTGGGAGTAGGTCAGCCTGCTCTCAGCAAAACCTATCTCATTACAAAGTTGTTTCTCAGAATTCAAGGACATCTGTGTAGATAAGGCACCCCTTAATTGGTACATCTTTATGAATAATGCAAAAAACGGGTCCTAGGGGCATTGACAAGTCACTAAAATTTTGTTCCATGATACTCTTTCCAGAATGTCTAGAAAATTTTAAGTAAAATAAATAGATTTCATGTGTTTACTCCTTTGCCAAAAATACTTGCCTTGGAACTCAGTGCTGATTAATTACATTGATAAATTCGTTCCCAGAATGTCACCAGTGAGTTCCCTGGAGTTCCTCTTTGACCTTTAGTAATACTTTATATGGTTGAACTCCTCCAAACTCTATCCTTAGCTTTCAAACACTGAAGTATTTCAGTTTGTTCTTGGTTTTGAAGGGATAGGGAAGAGAAAGTGTTCTAGATACTGAGAATAGTATAAATAAAGCCACAGAGAAATGAATATGCTTGGTGAGTCCAGAAAATGTGAGTAGATGGGGAGTAAAGCAAGGGAACCTTTTACCCACCGTTACCGCTCTCGGCCTCTTGTGGGATGTCCCATTTTCAGACTGAGCAAAGAATAGGAGCCAGATTTTATCACACACCTGAGCCCAGCATTTCCTATGCAGCTGGAGCCTATATTTTTTCAAAGGTCAAGGGACATCAATCAACTGCCCTATTTCAGGGAATCAGAGAGCAAGGGCCTGGGGTAAAATAGGGGTAAAGACAGAAGGCAGACTATTCATCTTCTGTTGAGCCTCCCGTCGAGTGCCTCCATGCCAAGTCTCAACCCTTCATGCATTATTGATCAGGGAGTGACTTTTTGGAGTCCAGTGAGAGATTCATTGAGTTTTTCAGCCTCTTGTGCTTTCTAATTTGATTCTCCATGCTTTCTATAATAGAATACATTTCCCTTTTTTCTTCAATGAGGGTAATTTCAGGCTGCAGAATATGACTGTTATGACTCACAGGAGTACTATTTATTTTGTAGCATAGCACAAGACACGAGACATTACTTAAAAGACCCCAGGGAACAATTGGAAATTGCTTTTCTACCTTGTAGATTATTTAACAATAGCTGTTATGATGTGATAAACTGATAAAAGATTAATTTCTGCAGTTATTATGTGTACAAAAAGCTAACCTCGAGATGGTTGATATGATCCTCTTTTGTGGTCTAGAAAGCTGCCTTGTGGGCATATTGTCATTGAGCTAGTGTGAGCAATTTTAAGTGACATTTACCAGTCTGACTTGAAAGAAATGTTCTTTATTATGGATCTTGATTTTACTATGGAAGTAACGTATAATTTTACTTCGTTTCTTTGGTACCTACTCTCCCTAAACAACTGTCTCTCCCTTCTAACTGCATATATCCCTCCTGCTCTGATCATCTGATTCTTTTCCCTAAAATATTCAAGCTCATGTTTAAATTTCCAGTCCTATTGTTTTTCTGGCTGCATATTAAGACCCATTGGTATCACTGCCTTGAACCTTATGTCTTCCTACAAACCACACTTTGATCTGTCTCTAGGATACCGGAAGAGCACGTCTGCTTTTGGAAAATTGAGTACGGTTTGCTTATTACAAGCCCACAGATAAAGGGAATGACAACCTAGATGTAACCAGAGAACAGATTCTGTTCAGTGTGACTGAACAATGAAAAAAAAAAAAGCCACACCTAGTCAATTTGGGTGGAATGCTTGCTGTAGCAGGCAAGTTTATTCACTGTATCTAACAGATCTGAATTGACATTTGCAAGTATAAAATTCCACCTCAGAAAGCTTTTGGTAGCTTTATTGAGGAAGTTTAGTAAGTGACACAAAGGGTGCAACTCCCTAGTATTTTTCAGTGCAGTTTAAGAGAGAGTTGCTGATGTTCACAGCAAAAAAAAATTATACAAATTTATATAAGAACTCCCCTTGGCATAATTAAGAGACAAACAGCACTGGAGAAGAATTTTAGGGCAAGCAGATACACTGGGTTCCAACTTCTGAGCACAGATAATGTTTGGAATTTCAGATCTTTTCATAACTTGGAATATTCATTATAGAAAGAAATTTCCAAGGAAGGATTCTCACTGCTAGATGTAATGTATATATGTGTGTGTGTGGTGGATATGATGTTATAGGCTATAAAAATATTTTTGACTCAGACATTTTGTATAATCTAGTAAATACCTTTCCTTTCTCTGTTTGAATGTGGTTGATTCACATGGAGGCAGTTCTTTACATGAAGGTAAACTTGACCCAGTTGAGTGTATGCATCTGATGATTTATATAGAGGTTATTGGCTCAGCCATAGCAATGTGCCAAGTCCTCTGGTCTGCTGTATGCTTTTCATGGCTTGCATTCCTGTGGCCAAGTCATAGTATTCCAAACCACAGTCTATAAACACAGGACTTCAGCCTTTTTCTTTATCACAGATAGAATCATCTGATGTTGTCTAGACCCTCCCCACCTTTTTACATCATTTTTACAATGCTATTTACCACATACATTTCTCAGAAACAAGCTTATATGGAAAAAAAAGAAAGAAACAAGCTTATATGTCTATCTGACATTAATGTAGTAAAGAATAAAGGTGAGGTGACACTTCAGGACCAAACAGGGATAAGTAGGAAGTTCCAGTAGATAGGAGGAAGGGATATATACTGATTAATAATATCAGTATTTTTAGACTCCAGTGTTTCAAGTGTTTTTCTTCTTTAATTAAATAGGAGCTCTAAGATATTATGTTACTCTGTGTACTTTTGGACTAGGGCAGATTTAAATGAATAGAAGTAAAATTGCAAAATATTTATTTACTTTTTAGTTTTTGAAAATGACAGATCGTTTCATAGTTAAAGATGAAAGAATAATATCCTTTCCTCACCTCAATACATTATACATTTTGCATAGTCATGTCAGAGTTATAGATTTTCTATTTCATATAAACTATTGGCTGAAGTATTTATGCTATCTCCCTGTTTTCAGGGCTCTTCTGTTAAAAATTATTAAAAATTTCTAGATTACCAGTCTCATGGTCAGTAGAGAGGTTACAGTGAATATTAATGAAGATTCTTCAATGAGTTTCTCAGTTTACCTACTCATGAAATAATAAATGATGAAATTTAATCTCTTTCATCTTAATGTAGTGACATTCAGTATCTTGTAAAGTGATTATTGTGAAATGTTCAAGTCAGTAGACGACAGGCATTATGTAGTTATAAGATTGATATGCTCTTAATATATTTATGGCTGTTATCATGTGAATATCCACATTGACTTCAGGTTAATCAGATCATATCACAGGAGTATTTGAAGTGGTACCATGCTACAAGCCCCAAATTTTATCAAGATTACACTAAGTTTTCTAAAAAATTAGAAAGATTTTACTTTCAGATACAGCAACTGAGACATATTTGTTCTATAGATTGTTTCCAAGCTTTCCTTGAGGTTAGCGAAGGAAGGCTCTGGGCCCCTTATTTGCATGGTCTCCTTCCAAGGCCCTAGGAGGAGGCCTAGCAATGTGTTTACAAAATTTGCCAAAATTATTTGTATATTCTTTGTTCTTAAGGCTCCCCTTCTCTATCCAACAACCTAAACTGCAGGCCCCTCAGATCCTGGCTTCATTCCTGATTGCAATTACTGGGCCAAGGTAGAGTAGTCATTCAGGT